TGTTTATACTGCAGAAATATGGCATTTACATTGTATAAGCAAACAATTAATCATGTGGTTCTCTAGAATCGAGCGAAGCCAAGTATTGAAAGTTTGTTCGTTTATTTTTTTTCTAGGTGGTGGGTGTAGGTGACTCTACGTCACATCCGCATCCACACTCACACCCACCCTTTATTTTGATATGGATAGTAACTAATCAGACATTTTACTTACAAAAATTAAATTTTTTCACATATACGTTTCATGGTAACTAAACACAGCAGTATACAATAGCAGTTATTCCACTAATAAAGTGTAATTTATGTTTAATGTTGTTCCATCGCAGCGTGCCTGATTTATATTTAAAGGATAGCGCGTGTTACATGCATAATATTTGTTTACGCAGCTTTGAGAGCAAGCATTTTGTGTACAATATGGAGCCAATGTAAAATAAATTATACCTTGACGTGTTGGTCTACAATTAGAACCAGTACAACAATCACACCAGCATTCTCTTGAGTAACGAGGTACAGATGGTCTAAAGGGTCGCCCTGAAGTACGGTAACGTGATGTTGTTAATGGTCTTGGCGGTCTCGGTAGAGTTGCTGGTTTAGCAGGTGCATTACCTGTTTGAGTGCTTACAAAGCCGAAAATGCATACTAATAGTGTGAAAAGTAACAATAAGTTAAAGTGCATTTTCTTCTATCGTTGATAGAAATTGTGGTAGTATATCATTTGTGTGTGAAGGTGAATTTTATAGAACAGTATTTATATATATTATTGTCACTTTTCTTCCTTTCGTTATTGACTAGAGACGTTGTATTAGCATTAGTACTAAATAAATGCTAATGCTTGGGCATTAACATTAACCATTAAGCCTAATGCTTTGACATTATTGACATTAGAATTAAGGCCTTCCCCCTAGAAAAACTACTTTTAATCAGAACAATCAAAATTCAGATTAATGCATAGGAAGATAGTCTGTGATCTGATCTTTCATAAATGACAACATTTTTTTATCGACACTTCGTTTTTTCCAAATATTTTTTGAAGATTTTCGCCATCTCCGATTCGAAAAATAAGCTATTTCCAGAAAAAACAGAAAATCTTTTTCGTTCTTTCTCCGTTTATAGTTTCTTGATTGCGCCATCCAAAGTTTTCTGTTGATACTCATTCATTTTTGTTTGTTTGAAAGAACATGTCAAGACGCAGTGCAGTACAGAGCCCTTTTTTTGATTACTCTTTGAGTGTGTGGGTGTGAGTCGCTAGCGGTCTAACCGCTTAGACCGGACTGAACTCCTCAATATACCAACATGAGTCATTTTTCACTACTTTCAAGCTGTAATATTTGAATTACACACTTGATTATTCATATCTTCCTCGTAATCATTACAGTAATGATGTGGAAGTTTCATTTCACTACTATTGAGCTTGTAACTATTTGGATGTGATGGAGTGTGAGTATATGTGTAGATGTAATTATCAACCACCACCACTTACACTCAACCATTTTTCAATTTTACAATCAATACTATCCTAAAGTTTTGATGAGCACGAAACAAATGATAAATGGGTATTATGAAAACCTAAAACTGTTATATTTTCTGCGAATTGCGTCATTTTTCTGAAATTAATGAATATTTTCCACTTACTACAATTTGTCGACATTGGCTCAACGTTGGATTTGTTTGATGTTTGAAAATCAAACTGTTGTGTGTGCGTTGATGTTCGGTCAAAATCGACGAAACTCCTCAGCTCTTGAGTTCTATCTGACACTCTAATAAATTGGTGTTCTCTGGAATTTAATTCTGATTTCAGAATTTTTTCTGCGTTTTTCTGATCGCTGGTGAAAACCATACACTCATTATTGAAACCCATTCGTCGTAGTGCTTTGATCAATCATACGCCTGCATTATGAACTGGATATTCATTTTCATGGTTCACATCAGTGACAACACGAAATGTCTCTTTGTTTTTTAAGCGTTGCCCAAATGGCGATCTAAGAAAGGATAGTACATTCTCTGTCGTTGATTTAGGAATGAAATGTACATTCATGTTGAGTGCTTGAGTTGATGCATATTCCATATGTTTTTTATTTTCCCAGTTCGCATTGAATATTCTATCGTCAACCCATAGTACTGACTATTTCGACAGACCCAGTTCAATTTGACGCATGTAAATTGTGGGTTGGGTTCCATGATAAGAAACCACATGCTTGAAGACAAGAAATGTGAAGTGTGGTAAGAATAAAACTTCATCTTCATTTGAAAAATTGAAAAACTCTCGAATGGACCGACTAGTTAACGAATAAATTTTGAAAAATGTGTTTCGATATTCAAAACCACCCTCAGCTACTTCTTTACTTTTCTTAGAACTGCTGAATTGAATCCATGTGATCATACTGCCAGATGTGTAAAGCTCCAGCTCGTGATCCTGCAGGTGGCAAGTCCGTGTCATATAGCCCCAATAATTAATGTATGAAAAAGATTTAACTAGATAAAATAGTATAAAAGCCGCTTTATTCAATTCCTCTACTACTTTCGCTTCGATTGCAACTCCGTTGGCACATCTAGCCATGAGGCTCGCACCGCGACTGATCGTTTCACTTTCGGTGCCGGTGTAGAATGAAAGTGCTAATGATAATGCTTGAGCTTGATCTTTCGATATACCTTTTTGTTGGAAAATTGGAGTTGACTTAGCGACACGTGCATCATGCTTTGCCATTACTTTTTTCACATTAATATTCGGCTTTGTTTCGTAACGATAGCAAAGTTATCTGTTTTTGGAATGATGCGTTTTTTTCCACTAGGCCGGAAAATGTTGGATTCAAATGATCTTCATAGAGGGTGTTGATGTGGGCCTGGGTGGATGTGGGTGTGAGTATGGGATGTTGATATGAAAGTCAGTTGGTTTGCTCTTTATTCACACCCGTACCCTCATATTTTCATTTTTAGTGAATATCTGATGTATTACACGCAATTGTTGATACGCATCAGAGATGGACGATGCAGCTAAAAATCTGCCTTGCCAAAAAATCCAAAGTAAAAGAAACTTTCTAGTGCATTTTGCAAGGCATATGAAGCCGTTACAATTTCTTTTTCTTCGTAATATCGAATAAAGCGCATTTTAATACATATAAATATGTTCGACAACAAAGTACATTTCATGCGCACAGAGAGATTTATTGTTTTGTGTTCAATCGGAAGGACATTATAATTAATTACCAGTTTTTTCTTTACTCTTTTGCAATTAATATTTTGATCACCATTTAAAACAATTAATTTATTTACCAAAAGTTTGAAATCATCTGCTTTTTTCTTCAGTGCATTTTTAAAAATAGATTATAGAAAATAACAAACTGACAGTTTTCTTTTTCTTTACTTTGTATTTCTGTTACTGATGCAGAAGAAGGTGCAATTTAAATAATCTCGACCAGTATCATCTTCTTATTTCTTCCTCCGTATCAATAAAAGAGAAATAAAGAAAAGGAATAGGAAACTATCAGTTTGTTATTTTCTGTGCTCTATTGTTATAAGTTCATTGAAGCAGAAAGCAGTCACTTTTGAAATTTTAATAAATTCATTAATTGCTCTAAATAAAAATCCGAATATTAATTATGGAAGAGTAAAAAGAAGCTAGTAACTAGGGTGTGGGTTGGTGTTGGTGTGAGGTGTGGGTGAAGAGCAAACCAACTGACTTCCACATCAACACCCGCACTCACACTCACAC